ACTGCAAAGGCCTATGGGGCCCCTACGGGCAAAGGGCCCTTTTTCAAAACGACATCTACCTAAAGGGAACCCAAGAAATAAAATTCGTACCCCGAAAACCAAAACAAACCCCGGCCCCCCCCACATTTTAAATTTTTTCCCGTCTCTTTTTTAAAGCTAAACCCAAAGGGCCCAGCCTCCCAAAACACCCCACTGGGAAACTGTTCCACCCCTTTTACAACTCTGTTAGAAAACCAGGACTTACCTATGTCCTTTCTAAATCTAAATTTATCCCAAATTAAATCCATTTTTCCGGGGCTTACCCGGTTTGACCCCTCCCGTACTTTATTAAAGGGCTCCCTTGTTTATGCCCGCATCCACTTATACACTTTCCCAAAGATATCCCCCTCATTCTTCGCCTCCCAAAAGGGGTGGAGATTTAAAGGGTTTTAAATTGGTTTAGAAAGGGCACGTGAGCAAACACTATAACATAAATTTTTTAGAAAACGTTTTTGGTCCTGGGGGCCTTGGGTCAAACCCTTTTCAAGGTCCCAGGGCCGAAAAAGTTTTCTAATAAATATTTAAAGTGTTTTCTTTTCATGGGCTTCTAAAACCCAAATTGTCGGTATTTATTACCAAGGGTTTTTACCAAGGCTTTTTAAATCTATCTTCATACGGGGGGTTCCTTACACAGTAAATCATTTTAGTCTTCTTTTCTGTATGTTCTCTAATGAGTCTATGTCCTTTCCCGTAGTAAAAGGGACCCAAAAATGAGCAGCATAATCAAATGGGCCTCAATAGTTTATGTTTTAGAGCTGTTAAAAAAAACTAAAATAACTTCTGTGTCTGAACCCGCTCCCAAAGGGGAAAATGGGGGTTAGCCTTTTCTGGTTCATTGTCACCCTCTATCTCGATTGTGTCCTTAACATGTTGCCACATGAAGTTTTCTAGAATTTGGCCCCAGCTTTTTGGCTCTCCATGTTTTTTTGGGCCCCCATGTGGTTCCAATTTCCCCCCCAATCAATCTCTTTACGGTTGAAATCCCCCATGTTAAGTAATTTTGCCCTCCTTATTGGGGCCCCTTTGGGAACTCGGCAAAAAAGTCTACCCTCAAATTGTTGCCCCCATCATATTTTTGTCTTGGGCCCTTTTGCCCTTTTTTTGGTGGGGTTTTACATCCCGTGCTAAACATCAATTTTGGGCCCCCCGTTTAAAAGTTTTTATGTTGTCCCTCCACTACTCTTCTAACTATAAATCTGTTTTCCCCAAAAAAAAAACCCTTGTTTCTGATGGGAGGCAAAATCCCCCTTTTTCCCCCCTGCCCCCCCTGTCTTTTCCCCAGGATCCGTAAAACCCGAAAAGGAAGTTTGGGATCTATTATCACTTACTTAACTTTGCCCATTTATTTTTAGGAAATTTTGGGTTTCCCCCCGTGTTTCTAGGGTTTCCCGGGGGTGGGGCCCCCTTTTAAAATTTTTTAATTTCCCGTGTGTTGGGGTTAAAACCCCCCTTCAGTCCTTTTTTTAGAACTGTATTTGTTTGGGGGGAAAAGGTTTTGGGGTGGCCCGTGGGGTTTTTTAAAAGGGCCCCGGATATTTTAGTAGGTTAAATGGTGCAAAACAGTACTAGTGCTGAAGGGGGTGGGGGTGTTTGGGTTTTGGGGGTGAACTTGGTTTCTTATGGTGTTTGGTTGGGGTTGGGTGGGAGGGGGTAAAAGGGAAAGCTATTGGAGGGCCGGGTGCGGTTTTGCTTGCTGGTTTTCTTCGAGGATAATTTCCACCTCTGTCGCCAGTGCCTGCCCTGTCCCCCCCCCCCCCCTGTCACCTTTTTACCCTTTTTCCAAATCGTTTTTCCCTTTTTTTTGGGGTCCCGTTTATGGTCGAGGGAAAAGTAAAAGGTTTTTCATTGGGTTCCGCTGTGTGTGGGTGGGTGTGTCTGTGTGTGGTGTGGGAGGGGATGTGTAAGTGGGGGTTAAAAGGAAAGCATATAGTATTTAAAAGTTCAAAAATCTCCTCGAAACCCCCAAACAGCAATCAAGAATGTGAAAAGCGGGAGATGATTTCCCGCAGTTTATAGGCTTTCCCCGGGTCTTTTTCATCGACCCAGGAATATACATTACAGAAGTTGGCTGCAGTAAAAAGGGAAACGCCTTTCCCCTTTCTAGAAAACAGTCAAAGAAAGATCGCAAACTAGGTTTCGTGATTTTTGGGCCCTTTTGTACGACAACTTCCTTTTTTTATTGTTTTTTGACAAAGCCACCTTGTGTAACACTAAACCACCTTTTGTACGACTAAACCCCCTTGTGTACGGGCTAAACCACCTTGGGGTACGGGGCAAACCACCTTGTGTACGAATAAACCACCTTGTTTTAACGACTAAACCACCTTGTTTTTGGGAAAAACCACCTTGGTTTCGGGCCAAAAACCCCCTTTTGTACGCTAAAACCACCCTTTTTACGGGCTAAAAAACCCCTTGTGTAAAACTAAACCCTTGTGTAAAGAACTAAAAAACCTTTGGGGTACGGGGCTAAACCACCTTTTGAAAGAATTTAAAACCCCCCTTGGTATGATAAACCACCTTGTTTACGGGCTAAACCCCCTTTGGGACGACTAAAAACCCCCTTGTTTACGACAAAACCCCCCTTTTGTACGCTAAAACCCCCTTGTGTACGACTGAAAACCCCCTTGTGTACGGGCTAAAAAAACCTTTTTTGTATGATAAACCCCTTTGTAGACTAAACCCCACCTTTTGTTTGACTTTTTCCCCCTTGGGGTTTTTGACTAAAACCCCCTTGTGTTCGGGCTTTTAAAACCCCCTTGTTTACGGGCAAACCCCTTGTTAAAGAAAAAAACCCTCTTTTGGGATGCCAAAACCCCCTTGGTTTGACTAAACCATCTTTGGGAAGACTAAACCAAACCCTTTTGTATGACTAAAACCCTTTGTTTTAAAGACTAAACCCCCTTGGGGTATGCCCAAAAACCCCCTTGTGTATGACAAAAACCAAACTTGTGTAAAGATAAACCTTTTTGTGTAAACTAAACCAAACCTTTTGTATGAATGAATCCTTGTGTAACTAAACCACCTTTGTTATGATAAACCCAATTTGTGTACATAAAAACCAAACCCTTTTGTTTACTAAACCCCCCTTTTGTACGCAAACCCCCTTGTGTAAGGGCTAACCCCCTTGTGTACGACTTTTAAAACCCCCTTTTGTATAAATAAACCCTCTTGTTTAAAGGACCCAAAACCCCCTTTTGAAGGGCTAAAAAATCTTTTGGGGCGACTAAAACCACCTTTTGGGAAGACTAAACCCCCTTTGTGTATGATTAAACCACCTTTGTGTATACAAAAACCCCCTCTTGTGTATGAAAAACCACTTTGTGAAAGCTAAAACCCCCTTTTGTATGACTTTCCCCCCCTTTTGTATTTAAAAACCACCTTGTGTACGGCTAAAAACCCCCTTAAAGAAAAAACAAAACCCTTTTTGTGAAAAGACTAAAACCCCCTTTTTGTACGACTAAACCACCTTGGGTTGAAAAAAACCCCCTTGTGTTTTAATTTTTAAAAAACCATTGGTACGGCAAAAACCCCCTTAAAGAACGACAAAACCATCTTGTGAAATGGGCTAAACCACCTTGGGGTACCCAGACCAACCTTTTGGATAATAAATAACCCATTTTTTCGACTGAACAACCCAATTTTTCGACTAAAAAAAACTTTTAAAATGGTGAACAACCTTGTTTATGGTGAACAAACCCTTTTTATTTTGGGCTTTAAAAACCTTGTATATTAAAAATTGTTTTTTTAATGGGCCCCCAAAAGCCCCCTTAAACAATTGAGGGCGTGAACAAGGACTTGTGTCAGACACTGGGAACATTTTAAATGAAAATTTTGTTACTGAAAACGGTTTGGTTCCCCCAAAAATCTATTTCAAGAAAAACAATAACAACCCTACTTTTTTCCGGGGGAGGGAAACCCCCTCCCCCCCCTGAACCCAAAAATTTAAAACTCTGCGTAGCAGGAAAAAAAACTTTGAGGAAAAAGAGCAACAGTTGAGTGGGGGCCCAAACCTTAGTTCAAATGGGCTCGGTATGGTTAAATCTCCGGGGATTTGTTTTCCCTTAGGTGCATGTGGTTATTTCCCCAAAAATGGAAAATTTGTTAACCCCAATAGCATAATTTTTTGGGCCTGTCCCCCCAAAACTGTAAGGCCGCTTCACTTTGGATCCGGGAAAGTTTATATTTACGGAAAAAAGGGGTTTTCATCCTTTGTTTCGGAAAAAATCTCGAACCAAGCGCAAGGGAGGCCTCGGCCCCCTTTTGGACCCAAAGTGGTGGGATTTCAATTCCGTTTAAGCCTCTTTTCCCAGGCCTCAAATGGGGGTTTCCTTCCTTTTGGATTTAAAGGGGTTTTTTGTTTCTTAAGGAAAACAATGTTCCCCGTTCACCCCCGCACCTCAAGGTAAAAGGGGTTGTTTCCCCTCCCTTCACACTCAAGGTTGGGGCTCTGCTTCCTCTTGCGCCTCAAGGTAAATGCTCTGCTTTCCCTCTTGCCACTTCCCAAGGGGAAATGCCTGCTTCCTTTTTGCGCCAACAAGGTTTTGTGCTCGCCCTTTACTCTTTTCGCACCCCCAAAGGGGAAATGTTTTGCCCCTTTACTTTGCGCACTCAAGGTGAGTTCTTGTTTTACTCTTTTGGGACATCAAGGGTGGTGCTCTGCTTTACTCTTTTCGCACTTAAGGGGAGGGCTCTTTTTCACTCTTGCCACTCAAGGGGAAAAGGGTCTGCTTTTACCCCTTGCGCACTTTAAGGTAAGTGTTTTGGGTTCACTCTTTCGCACTCAAGGTTAGTGCTCTGGCCCCTCTTGGGACCTTTAAAGGGGAGTGCTCTGCTTTTTTACCTTGCGCACTTAAGGTGAGTGCCCTGCTTTTCCCCTTGCCCAAATAAAAGGGGAATGCTCCCGGGTTCACTCTCCATCAAGGTGGTTTCTCTGCTTCACTCTTGGGGAAATCAAGGTAAAAATGGTTTTGCTTCACTTTGCGCATCCCAAAGGTTTAAATGCTCCCGCTTCAATCTTGGGGCCCCTCAAGGTGAGTGCTCTGCTTCAAATCTTTTCGCACCCCAAGGTGAGTGCTCTTTTCACTCTTTTGGGACTCAAGGGGAGTGCTCCGACCTCTCTTGCGGGACTTTAAGGTTAAGGGGTTTTGCTTCACTCTTGCGCACCTCAAGGGGGTTTCTCTGCTTTTACTCTTGCCACTCAAGGTTTTTTGGTTGCTTCCCCTCTTGCCCCTTAAAAGGGAGTGCCCCTTTCTTCACTCTTGCCCCACTCCCAAGGGGGAATTTCTTGCCCTTTAAATCTTTCCAATTAAAAGGGGTTTTTGCCCCCTGCTTCACTCTTCGCACTTTAAAGGGGAGTTTCTTGCTTCACCTTGCGCCCCTCAAGGGGGAGTGCTTCTTCACTCTTTTGGGACTCAAGGTTAGTGCTTGGCCCTTTAAATTTGGCACCAAGGTGGGGCTCTGCTTTACTCTTTTCGCACTCAAGGTGAGGCTCTGCTTCCTCTTGCGCCCCCTCAAAGGGGAGTGCTTTTGCTTCACTCTGGGGGATCAAGGGGGGGTGCTCTGCTTCACTCCCTTTGGGACTCAAGGTTTGGGGTCTGCTTCACTCTTGCCACTTTAAGGGGAGTGTTGTCTTCCCTCTTGCGCCCTTTAAGGTGGTGTGGTCTGCCCTTTACTTCTTGCGCACCCTCAAGGTGAGTGCCCCCTGCTTTCCCCTTTCGCACTTTAAAGGTTTGTGCTCTGCTTCACCTTGCGCACTCAAGGTGAGTGCCCCTGCTTCACCCCTTGCCACTCAAGGTTGGGGCTCTGGCCCTTTTACTCTTGGCCCCTCAAGGGGAAATGCTTTTGCTTCACTCTTGCGCACCAAAAGGGGAGGCTCCCGCTTAATCTTGCGCACTCAAGGTGAGGCTTCTGCTTCCAAACCCTTTCGCACTTAAAGGTGAGTGCTCTGCTTCACCCCTTTCGCCCCTTTAAGGTGAGTGCTCGGGTTCAAATCTTGGGGCACTCAAGGTGAGTGCTCCCGCTTCACCTTTGGGATCAAGGTGATGCTTGCTTCCCCTCTTGCGCACTTTAAGGTTAGTGCTCTGCTTTACTCTTTCGCACTCAAGGTTTAGTGCTCTGCTTACTCTTGCGCACTCAAGGGGGAGTGCTCTGCTTCCTCTTGGCACTCAAGGGGGAGTGCCTTTCTTCACTCTTGCGCACCCAAGGTAAATTTCTCTGTTCACTCTTGCGCACCCCGGGTTTTGTGCCCTGTTCACTTTTTGCGCACTCAAGGGGAGTGCTCTGCTTCCCCTCCCTTTTTGGGACTTAAGGTGAAGGCTCTTTCTTCACTTTTGCGCCTCAAGGTGAGTGCTCCCGCTTTACTCTTTGCCATCAAGGGGTGTTTTGCTTTACTCCTTTCCAAATCAAGGGGAATTTCTCTGTTATTTGGATCAAGGGAACTCTGCCCCCAAGGAGGTAAGGTTTTTTTGCCCCACCTTTTATTAAATAAATTACAAAAATTTGCGAAATAAAAAAATAAAAAAAATTTTGGGGGGGGCCCCGTCCCTTCGACTAAGGGGGCTTGTTCCCCTTTACTTTTAGGGAATTTCTTCCCCCCGGACTAGGTGGGCCGTTCACCCTGCCAATCAAGGTTGTGTTTTTCTTTTAATTTTCCCTTGGGGTTTTTGCTTACCTTGTTCAATTATTAAAACCCCAAATTTTGGATAAAAGGTGGTGGTTTTTTGGCGAAAAAATTTGGCATAAGGGGAACTTTTGGGGCTGGTTAAAAACCCCCAATAAGGTTTTGTTGGTCTTTTAGGGTTTTACAAACCCTAAAAGGAAAAGGAAAGGCGTTTAAATAAAATAAAAAAAATAAAATGGCCCCAAAAAAAAATTTTGGGAAAAAGGGAAAAAAGAGTACCCCCGTTAAGGGGCCTAATTTTTCAAAAGGGGGAGGGGGGAAAATAACTTTTTTTTTTGGTTTTTTTTATTCCCTTTTTTTATTTTTTTTTTCCCTTTTTTTTTTTTTTTTTTTTTTTTGGTTACACCTTTTTAAAAAGTTAAAAACCATTTAAACCCACACGTTTTTTCATTTAGGAAATGGGTTAAAAATTCTTGGTACGAAAAATTGGGGGGCATAGCCGGGGCTTGGGGGTTGGGGGGAAAATTTAAAAGGTTTTTAAAAAATTGAGAATCTTTTAAAAAGGGTTCCCAAAAATTAAAAGAAAACTGAATAAAAGAAAAATTTGAAAAATTTTTTAAATTTTAAACCAATTTTGTTTTTAAAACCCCCCCGGGAGGCTAAATTTCAAAGTGCACACCAGTGTCCAAGAATTTTAAAAAATAATCTTGTTATTTTTTCTTATGAAATGGTAGAGAATCTTTTTCTGAAGGTAATAAAATAAAAAGTACGTTATTTGATGGAAAATTGACGAAATTATGCTCTCGCGAATTTTGATGTGTCAGTGATATTTACGCATCATCGATTTTGCCGACTTTGACTCCCATTTTAGGCCAATTACCTTATTCCTGTCGACCAAATTCTTAGCTGTTTCACTAGTATTATTAGTTCTATTCTATCGATTGAGCACAAGAAATTGCCAACTCAACTGATTCAACTACAAAATAAAGTGATTGGAAATTGGTAATTTGGCCAATTTAATGCAAAGTTCAAAATATTCCAATTTCAAAATAAGGCCCAGAATAAACAATGCAGGCATTCCTGGCACTAAACTAACATTTCCTTTGTTCATTGGTTACGTTTTCAGGCTTTACAAATTTTGATTTTTAATTTACATAATGAATTTTTATTCAAACCAAAAAATAGAAGATTTAGTGTTATGCAATATTGTAATAATTGTATAAATAATATCAGCACATTTGTGAACGTATATTAGACCCACCAGCTGGAGTATATTAGACGTGTGAGGTCATTTGTTTACTCTTGAACATCGGCAAAAATTTAATATTTCTGCTACTTTGAGCTCAGTTTCAAGCCATTTTCAGTACTAAAACCAATCAAAATGATCTCTATTTCTGTAATATAACTTCCATTCTATCTAATGAGATCAAGAAATCGCAAATACAACTGTAAAAACATAAGAAAAGACACTGCAATGTTGCTGTTTTAATCGAAAACTACAGTCTCAGTTTTCTTTCTTTCATTATGCAGGATTTGTTTTATGTGGTGCACACATACCACACAAATGTATTCTCTCATATCTAGGCCCAAATTTACCGCTCACAGCTTATCAGAGTGAGCTGAGCTCATGGCTTACATCTACGGTTTGGACCCTCAACGTAAAGTCGTAGATCTATGGCACAGACCCTGAAAGAGCTATTCCCTGAGGCATTATCCCATTTTGATCCATCTCCAGCAGTATCTCTATTCTGAACCTCAGTGTCCTCCTGGACAACACTGGTACCCTCATGAGCTCTATCTTCTAAGACATCACTAGGACCCTCTGGAGCACTTTCCTCCAGGACAGCACTAGCACCCTCAGGAGCACTTTCCTCCAGGACAACACTAGCACCCTCAGCACTGTCCTCCAGGACAGCACTAGCCCCCTCAGGAGCACTGTCCAAGACAGCCCCGTCCCTACCACCCATCTTTTTTTCCCAGCTGTCATACCAAGCTGACATGTCTTTCAAGAAGGATGTTTTATTGGCGTTCTTGTCTTTTAATATAGATGTCATTTCCTCATACAGGTGTATTTCATTTGGGCAGACCCAAAATCATCTCTCTGAGTTAATGTCAAGTGTGGTCACTAGTTTAAAATTCCTGCATATACTATGGGACCACTGACCACACAGATGGCAAGCAATCCAGGCCTGTCTTTGTCCCTTCCCCTTTCTGCAGACTACACAGATCTTATGGTGGTGGTCATTTTACAATACTGGGACAACTCTCTAGCTAGCTAGTCTATAATTCACTGACGTATTTAATTTTTTGTAACAGTTCTTCTGATCTGCTGTATTTCCAACGAAACTTTTTTGAATCCAAACGAATCCAGATTTATTTCCAAAAAAGCGTTTAAAATCCACCGAATCAGGCGAAATCCATTTGAATCCTTCCGAATCCAGCAAAACTGGAAGAATTCAGTTAGTGGATCACTGTATATCTTTTTTTTTATAAGCACCATAACAGTAGATCTGTCTATCTGTATTGTAACTATTTGTTGTAGTTACTGTTTGAGTTTTTAAAATCGGGGCGTAGAGCCCCGTCAAGTTAGTGAAACCCAGTCAGAGGATACGTTGTTATCAACGAATCGTTTGAATACGGTCTTTGGATAAATCCAGGCAGATCCAGATTATGCCCCCAGGGTGTGTGTGTGTGTGTGTGTGTGTGGTGGTGTGTGTGTGTGTGTTGTGTGTTTTTGGGTGTGGTTTGTGCTTGGGGTTGTGGGGTGTTTTTGTGTGTTTGTGTGGTGTTTTGTGTGTTTTGTTTTTTTGTGTGTGTGTGTATGTGTTTGTGTTTGTGTGTGTGTGTGTGTGTGTATGTGTGTGTGTGTGTGTGTGTGTGTGTGTGTGGTGTGTGTGTGTGTGTGTGTGTTTGTCTGGTGTGTGTGTGCGTGGTGTGTGTGTGTGTACTCACCAAATTGTATTGCATGGGTCGAATCATAGGTCCTGGCACTCCCTCTCCACTGGTTGCTAGTAGGTCCACTCTCTCCATAACTCCATGGGGCTTTATCATCCCTCTTCTTTAAGCTATATGTGGATCCAGCCTGCATCACTCACCAGACTATTTCACTTCTTGACAGCCCTATGACTGAAGAAATTTTTAACATCCCTGTGACTCATCTGAGTTTTCAACTTCCAGTTTTGCCCCATTGTTGCTGTGTCACATCTCTGAGACTTTCTGGTCTTACCCAACCTGTCAATTTCTCTCAGAAATTTTATGTGTTGCAATCATGTCCCCCCTTCCCGGGTTTTGAGTTCCGTAACTTTTCCTCGTACTTTGTACTTTCTGTAATTTCTTGACCTGTTTTCACCGGGTGTGGTTCCATACTAGTGTTCATATTCTAATATGGGTCTGATGTACACGGTGTGCCTTGTCGGGGAATGACTCCTTACTTACAAGAATAAACGCTATTCTCAGGGCTTGCCAGGCGCCCATATGCTGCAGTGGTTATTTGGCTGATGTACACCCTCAAAGATGTGTTTCGGTATTACCTGGAGTTTACCTGGAAAGGGTTTCGGGGGTCAACGCCCCGCGGCCCGGTCTCAGCCAGGTTATGATGCTAACCCCGAGATTTTCCCTTTTTCCCTTTAGTGAGTTTTGGCAGCCTCTGACCTCTTGGACTGTACTCGGTCTGCGGTCTTCTTTGTCCTTCCCCAAGCTTCATAATTTTGCACTTGGTGGGCTTAAGCTTCAGGAGCCATTTGTTGGGGCCAGGGTTGCAGCCCGTCCAGATCCCCTTGTAGGTTTACCGACACACGTTTTTCGTTCCTGTCAAGTATTCCTTGATCCAATGCAGTAATTTTCCCTCTTATTCCTGCATGCTCCACTAGTTTTTTCAAAACCCGTCTCTTGTGTGGTACTGTGTCAAAAGCATTCTTAAAGTCCAAGAAATGCAGTCTACCCATCCCTCTCTCTCCTGTCTTATTCTGTTACCTTGTCGTAGACTTCCAATAGGCTCATGATAAAAGTTTTTTCCCTTTCCCCAAGCCGTGCTGGTTGTCAAGTATTAGTCCATTCCCTTCTTAAATGCTCCACCACTCTTTTCCTGATACTGTTCTCCAAAACTTTGCAAACAATACACGTCAGCAACACTGGTCTGTAATTTAGTGCAGCCTGTCCGTCTCCTTTCTTAATAATCAGGACTACATTCTCTGTCTTCACGTCTTAGGCAGTTGCCTGTTTGAATAGAATTACTAAAGATTTTTGTTAGTGGTACACCACTGTGCATTTTGTTTCCCTCTCTCAGGACCCACGGAGACATATTATCTGGGCCCATCACCTTCAGGGTATCTAGTTCCCCTAGCACCTTCTTCACCTCCTCGGTTGTGAACAGTGTGTCCAGCACTTGTCTTCACTCTGAATACCTTCCTGAATCTTGAGCTGAGTTCTTGACATACTTCCTGGTCGTTCCTTGTGAGCTCTCCTCCTTCCTTCCTCAACCTGATTACCTGATCCTTGACTGTCGTTTTCCTCCTCATGTGGCTGTAAAACAACTATGGGTCAGATATGACTTTTGATGCTGTATCATAAGAACATAAGAACATAAGAATGTAGGAACACTGCAGAAGGCCTACTGGCCCATACGAGGCAGGTCCTTATCAAAACGACATCTACCTAAAGCTACTCAAGAAACAACTCCCGCACCCCCCAACACCAATCAAACCCAGCCCCTCCCACTCATATATTTGTCCAGTCTCTTCTTAAAGCTACCCAAGGTCCTAGCCTCTATCACCCCACTGGGAAGACTGTTCCACGCATCTACAACTCTGTTAGAAAACCAGTACTTACCTATGTCCTTTCTAAATCTAAATTTATTCCAACTTAAATCCATTATTCCTGGTTCTTACCTGGGGTTTGACACCCTCAGTACTTTATTAATGTCTCCCTTTTTTATGCCCGTCATCCACTTATACAAATTCAATGATATCTCCCCTCATTCTAGCCTCTCCAGAGAGTGGTGAATTTAAGGGCTTTAAGTCTATCTTCATACGGGGGGTTCCTTACACAGTAAATCATTTTGTCATTCTTTTCTGTTTTGTTCTCTAATGAGTCTATGTCCATCCTGTAGTAAGGGGACCAAAACTGAGCAGCATAATCTAAATGAGGCCTCACTAGTGATGTATAGATCTGTAAAATAACTTTTGGACTTCTGTTACTTATACTTCTTGAGATAAATCCAAGTAATCTGTTGGCCTTGTTGCGCACACTGAGGCACTGCTGTCTTGGCTTTAGATTTCTGCTTACCATGACTCCCAAGTCTTTTTCACATTCTGTATGACCAAGCTCTACTTCACCTAGATTATAGTATCATTATTTGTTGATGCTGAGCTTCTCTCCTCATTCATGCATATTCATTTCTGGCTCTTCGGTTAAACTCCTTGTTTTCCTGGGTCCTCTGCCTTCTCTACTTTTTCCATGCTTTATCACATTTGGCTTTGGTCTCTCTATACCTCCTGGTAAACAATGGACTCACTCTGTTCTTCTCATTGCTTTTGTTGCCCATAGGAATGAACTTCTCTACTGCTCCCTGCAATTTGTGGTCACATGTTCCATCATTTATTTTACTGCCTTTCCCTCTAGTTCACTTACCCACTGCACCTCATGCAGGAATTGTCTCATACTCGTGTAGTCCCAGTTTTTGGGAGTTTGGCTTCTCCCATCCTTCTCGTACTGCTTCACTTCCCATTGTTAATTCTACTATGTATTCGAAACACAAGACCACAGTGCCACTAGAGCATAGGGGCCTTTTGTGTGTGTGTGATATAAGAACATAAGAACATAAGAATGTAGGAACACTGCAGAAGGCCTACTGGCCCATACGAGGCAGGTCCTTATCAAAACGACATCTACCTAAAGCTACCCAAGAAATAACTCTCGTACCCCATGACACCAATCAAACCCAGCCCCTCCCACTCATATATTTGTCCAGTCTCTTCTTAAAGCTACCCAAGGTCCTAGCCTCTATCACCCCACTGGGAAGACTGTTCCACGCATCTACAACTCTGTTAGAAAACCAGTACTTACCTATGTCCTTTCTAAATCTAAATTTATCCAACTTAAATCCATTATTCCTGGTTCTTACCTGGTTCGACACCCTCAGTACTTTATTAATGTCTCCCTTGTTTATGCCCGTCATTCCACTTATACACTTCCAATGATATCCCCCTCATTCTACGCCTCTCCAGAGAGTGGAGATTTAAGGCTTTAAGTTGGTTTAGAAAGACAGGTAAGCAAACACTATAACATATTTATTAGAAAACGTTTCGGTCCTGGGACCTTGATCACCTTGATAAAGGTCCCAGGACCGAAACGTTTTCTAATAAATATGTTATAGTGTTTGCTTACATGTCTTTCTAAACCAACTTGTCGGTATTTATTACCAAGGTTTATACCAAGGCTTTAAGTCTATCTTCATACGGGAGGTTCCTTACACAGTAAATCATTTTAGTCATTCTTCTCTGTATGTTCTCTAATGAGTCTATGTCCATCCTGTAGTAAGGGGACCAAAACTGAGCAGCATAATCTAAATGAGGCCTCACTAGTGATGTATAGAGCTGTAAAATAACTAAAATAACTTCTGTGTCTGAACTGCTCAAGGTGAATATGAGGTCTAGCCTTGCTGGTTCATTGTCACCTCTATCTCTGATTGTGTCCTTAACATGTTGCCACATGAAGTTTTCTAGTATTGCCTCCAGCATCTTGGCTCTCCATGTCTTTGGACCCCCATGTGGTTCCAGATTCTCCCAATCAATCTCTTTACGGTTGAACTCCCCCATGTTAAGTAATTTTGCCCTCCTTATGTGGGCCCATCTGGCAATCTCGGCTAAGGAGTCTACCATCACTCTGTTGCTCTCATCATATTTTTGTCTTGGCCTTCTGCTGTTTGGTGGTGGGTTGTACATCACGTGCTATCATCACTTTTGGGCCCCCAGTGTACAGTGTTTTTATGTAGTCATCCACTACTCTTCTAACTAGTACTCTGTTTGCCTCAAAACTCCATTGCTTTCTGATGAGGAGTGCAACTCCTCCTTCCCCTCTGCTCCCCCCTGTCTTTCCTCAGGATCTCGTAACCAGACAGGAAGATCGCATCTATTATCACTTACGTAAGCTTTGTCTCAGTGATTGCTAGGATATCCGGGGATGCCTCAGTGATTGCTAGGATATCCGGGGATGCCTCACTTTTATTTATAATTCCATGTGTGTTGGTGTACCACACCTTCAGGTCCTTTTCTAGAACTGTATTCTGTAGGGTGGAAAAGGTTGGTGCTGGCTGTGGGTTTGATAGGCAGGCCTGGATATTATAGTAGTCTACTGGTGCATCAGTACTAGTGCTGAAGGGAGTGGGGACTGTGGGTTTGGGGTGTATCTTGGCTCTTCTTATGGTGTTTGGTTGGCGTTGGGTGGTAGGGGATGAGGAAATGCTATTGGTAGGTCTGGGTGCGGTTGTGCTTGCTGTTTTCTTCGAGGATATGCACCTCTGTCTGCCAGTGCCTGCCCTGTCCCCCCCCCCCTCTGTCACCTTCTTACCCTTTCTCTCAGTCGTTTCCTTTCTTTTTGTGTCCTGTCATGGTCGAGGAACAGTCACTGGTATTTCATTGGCTTCCGCTGTGTGTGTGTGTGTGTGTCTGTGTGTGTGTGTGGGAGGGGATGTGTAAGTGGGGGTTAGAGAATGCGATATAGATATTTAAATGTTCACAGCTCTCCTCGAAGACCAAGCAGCAACTCAAGAATGTGAACAGCGTAGATGATCTCCTGCAGCTCATAGGCTTCCCGGATCTTCTCATCGACCAGGAATATACATTACAGAAGTTGGCTGCAGTAAAGGAATCGCCTGCCTTTACTAGAACAGCACGTCAAAGACGATCGCAAACTAGTACGTGATTATTGTCTTCTGTACGACAACTTCTTTTATATTGTTTCTGACAAAGCCACCTTGTGTACGACTAAACCACCTTGTGTACGACTAAACCACCTTGTGTACGACTAAACCACCTTGTGTACGACTAAACCACCTTGTGTACGACTAAACCACCTTGTGTACGACTAAACCACCTTGTGTACGACTAAACCACCTTGTGTACGACTAAACCACCTTGTGTACGACTAAACCACCTTGTGTACGACTAAACCACCTTGTGTATGACTAAACCCCCTTGTGTACAAACTAAACCACCTTGTGTACGACTAAACCCCCTTGTGTACGACTAAACCACCTTGTGTATGACAAAACCACCTTGTGTACGACTAAACCACCTTGTGTACGACTAAACCACCTTGTTTACGACTAAACCTCCTTGTGTACGACTAAACCACCTTGTGTACGACTGAACCTCCTTGTGTACGACTAAACCACCTTGTGTATGACTAAACCCCCTTGTGTACGACTAAACCACCTTGTGTATGACTAAACCACCTTGTGTATGACTAAACCACCTTGTGTACGACTAAACCACCTTGTTTACGACTAAACCACCTTGTGTATGACTAAACCATCTTGTGTATGATAAACCCCTTGTGTTTTGACTAAACCATCTTGTGTATGACTAAACCACCTTGTGTATGCCCAAAAACCATCTTGTGTACGACTAAACCACCTTGTGTATGACTAAACCACCTTGTGTATGACTAAACCATCTTGTGTATGACTAAACCATCTTGTGTATGACTAAACCACCTTGTGTATGACTGAACCTCCTTGTGTACGACTAAACCACCTTTTTGTATGACTAAACCAACCTTGTGTACGACTAAACCACCTTGTGTATGACTAAACCACCTTGTGTACGACTAAACCACCTTGTGTATGACTAAACCACCTTGTGTACGACTAAACCACCTTGTGTATGACTAAACCATCTTGTGTATGACTAAACCACCTTGTGTATGACTAAACCATCTTGTGTACGACTAAACCACCTTGTGTATGACTAAACCACCTTGTGTATGATTAAACCACCTTGTGTATGACTAAACCATCTTGTGTATGACTAAACCACTTTGTGTATGACTAAACCACCTTGTGTATGACTAACCCCCTTTGTGTATGACTAAACCACCTTGTGTACGGCTAAACCACCTTATGAACGACTAAACCATCTTGTGAAATGACTAAACCACCTTGTGTACGACTAAACCACCTTGTGTATGACTAAACCACCTTGTGTATGACTAAACCACCTTGTGTACGGCTAAACCACCTTATGAACGACTAAACCATCTTGTGAAATGACTAAACCACCTTGAGTACGACTGACCAACCTTGTGTATGACTAAATAACCTATTGTACGACTGAACAACCTATTGTACGACTAAATAATCTTGTATATGGCTGAACAACCTTGTATATGGCTGAACAACCTTGTATATGGCTGAACAACCTTGTATATGGCTGAACAACCTTGTGTATGACTGGACAACCTACTGTACGACTGAGCAACATTGAGAACGACTGAACAATCTTGTGTATGACTGAACAATCTTGAGTACGACTGAGCAATCTTATGTATGAGTGAACAACCTTGAGTACAACTGAACAATCTTGTGTATGGTTAAAACTCCGAGAGATTTGTTCATCATGTGCATGATGAATACCTCACACAGAGTGTGTTAACCTTCAATAGCATAATTTGAGGCCGGGGTGAGGAAGACTGTAGCGCTTACACTGTAGACTCCAGTAATGTTATATTTACGACGTTTTCATCTGTCGTGCAGGAAAAATCTCGAGACAGCAGCACGGGAGCCTCGCAGTGGAGGCCAACTGTGACGTGGAGCTGCAGAGTGTGCAGCTGAAGACTCTCCCAGGCGCTCAGCTGTTTCCTTCCTGTGTGAGGCTGTCTAGGTGTGGTGGCTGTTGTCCTAAGGAACGACAATGTACCCCAGTTAACACAACCACACGACACCTCAAGGTAAGTGCTCTGCTTCACTCCTACACACTCAAGGTAAGTGCTCTGCTTCACTCTTGCGCACTCAAGGTAAGTGCTCTGCTTCACTCTTGCGCACTCAAGGTGAGTGCTCTGCTTCACTCTTGCGCACTCAAGGTGAGTGCTCTGCTTCACTCTTGCGCACTCAAAGGGGAGTGCTCCTGCTTCACTCTTGCGCACTCAAGGTGAGTGCTCTGTTTCACTCTGCACACTCAAGGTGAGTGCTCTGCTTTTACTCTTGCGCACTCAAGGTGAGTGGGTCTGCTTCACTCTTGCACACTCAAGGGGATTTTCTCTGCTTCACTCTTGCGCACTCAAGGTGAGTGCTCTGCTTCACTCTTGCGCACTCAAGGTGAGTGCTCTGTTTCACTCTTGCACACTCAAGGTGAGTGCTCTGCTTCACTCTTGCGCACTCAAGGTGAGTGCTCTGCTTCACTCTTGCACACTCAAGGTGAGTGCTCTGCTTCACTCTTGCGCACTCAAGGTGAGTGCTCTGCTTCACTCTTGCGCACTCAAGGTAAAGTGTTCTGCTTCACTCTTGCGCACTCAAGGTGAGTGCTCTGCTTCACTCTTGCGCACTCAAGGTGAGTGCTCTGCTTCACTCTTGCGCACTTAAGGTGAGGTGCTCTTGCTTCACTCTTGCGCACTCAAGGTAAGGTCTCCGCTTCACTCTTGCGCACTTTAAGGTAAGTGTTCTGCTTCACTCTTGCGCACTCAAGGTGGGGCTCTGCTTCACTCTTGCGCACTCCAAAGGTGAGTGCTTGCTTCACTCTTGCGCACTTAAGGTGAGTGCTTGCCTTCTCACTCTTGCGCACTCAAGGTAAGTGCTCTGCTTCACTCTTCGCACTCAAAAGGGGAGTGCTCTGCTTCACTCTTGCGCACTCAAGGTGAGTGCTCTGCTTCACTCTTGCGCACTCCAAGGTTAGTGCTCTGCTTCACTCTTGTGGCACTCAAGGTGAGTGCTCTGCTTCACTCTTGCGCACCTCAAGGTGAGTGCTCTGCTTCACTCTTGCGCACTCAAGGTGAGTGCTCTGCTTCACTCTTGCGCACTCAAGGTGAGTGCTCTGCTTCACTCTTGCGCACTCAAGGTGAGTGCTCTGCTTCACTCTTGCGCACTCAAGGTTTAGTGATCTGCTTCACTCTTGCACACTCAATGTGAGTGCTCTGCTTCACTCTTGCGCACCCCAAGGTGAGTGCTCTGCCCTTTACTCTTGCGCACCTCAAGGTGAGTGCTCTGCTTCACTCTTGCGCACTCAAGGTTAGTGCTCGCTTCACTCTTGCGCCCCTCAAGGTGAGTGCTCTGCTTCACTCTTTCGCACTCAAGGTTAGTGCTCTGGCTTCACTCTTGTGCACTCAAGGTGAGTGCTCTGCTTCACTCTTGGGGCACTCAAGGTGAGTGCTCTGCTTTCATCTTGCGCACTCAAGGTGAGTGCTCTGCTTCACTCTTGCGCATCAAGGTGAGTGCTCTGCTTCACTCTTGCGCACTCAAGGTGAGTGCTCTGCTTCACTCTTGGGGCACTCAAGGTGAGTGCTCTGCTTCACTCTTGCGCACTCAAGGTGAGTGCTCTGCTTCACTCTTGCGCACTCAAGGTGAGTGCTCTGCTTCACTCTTGCGCACTCAAGGTTTAGTGCTCTGCTTCACTCTTGCGCACTCAAGGTGAGTGCTCTGCTTCACCCCTTGCGCACTCAAGGTGGGGTGCTTGCTTCACTCTTGCGCACTCAAGGTAAGTGCTCTGCTTCACTCTTGCGCACTCAAGGTTAGTGCTCTGCTTCACTCTTGCGCACTCAAGGTGAGTGCTCTGCTTCACTCTTGCGCACTTAAGGTGGATGCTCTGCTTCACTCTTGCGCCATCAAGGTGAGTGCTCTGCTTCACTCTTGCGCACTCAAGGTGTGTGCTCTGCTTCACTCTTGCGCACTCAAGGGGAGTGCTTTTGCTTCACTCTTGCGCACTCAAGGTGAGTGCTCTGCTTCACTCTTTTGCGCACTCAAGGTGAGTGCTCTGCTTCACTCTTGCGCACTCAAGGTGGTGCTCTGCTTCACTCTTGTGCACTCAAGGTGAGTGCTCTGCTTCACTCTTGCGCACTCAAGGTGAGTGCTCTGCTTCACTCTTGCGCACTCAAGTTAGTGCTCTGCTTCACTTCTTGCGCACTCAAGGTGAGTGCTCTGCTTCACTCCCTTTTGCACTCAAGGTGAGTGCTCTTTCTTCACTTTTGCGCACTCAAGGTGAGTGCTCTGCTTCACTCTTGCGCACTCAAGGCGAGTGTTCTGCGTCACTCCTGCACACTCAAGGTAAGTGCTCTGTTTTAGTTGATCAGGAACTCTAGCAAGGAGAGGAAGGCGTGCCTCAACGCTATGGTATATATGTTCCTCATAAAACTGTTTGCGAGGAAAGAAGAGTCCACCAGCCGTTGCGGGAGGGCTAAGTCCCTCAGAGGGCTGAAGGGGGCTGAGAGATACCCACTTTACTAGGGAATTTTCTCCACACCGGACCTAGGTTGTTCACCTGATTTAAAACAAAAAGAATCACCGAGTGGTGATTCCTTCTTTCTAGAGTTCCTTCTTTCTAGCTGACACTTGTTACAAGTATTACCATAACACACACACGTACATGCGTAGAAAGTGTGTGGGTGGAATTTCTTGTACGAAATAATTGTGACAGTAGCTGAGGCTTGTGCTTGTTAATTCCTAATAAGTTTTGTATTGATAAGTCTTTTAAGTTGTCCAAAACTTAAAGAAAACGTGAATCATGACTGTATGAAGTATAAATTATTAAGACCTAATATGCTAAAAACGATATCTTAGTAAGAAGTAAATAGATAAGAAAGTTTTTTTAGTACTGTTAAGACATAATTTTAAATTAATACACAATTAGTTCAGAAATAACACTAGACTTTTTTTTTTTTTTTTTTTTTTTTTTTTTTTTTTTTTTTTTTTTTTTTTTTTTTTTTTTTTTTTTGGTTACAAGTAGTGATTAATAACTGTAATGGGATTTTAGAGCTTCAACTACTGTTTATTCATATAATTTATATGACAATATAAATGTTGGAGAGCGACACCAGAAGCACACTGCCTCTGTAAGGAATTATAGGGACTCATAGTTATTAAATGCAATCAGAACTCTATAATAGCCGTTAACATAACTTACATATGAGCAAACAGTAATATATTGATAATGTTTCCGTATTAAGTATTTACTCACATGTCTTAAGCCACAGTTTGTCTGTATAATATACATAGTTTATACAGTCACTGTCATACATGCAAGCCTAGAATTATATGTAGATAAAACATTAACTCTGAATTATGTTCAATATGACAGAATATACATACCAAAAGTTAAGTGTCTATATATACAGTGAGACGTGTATATCTTTATATACAGTGCATCGAGAGGAATGTATCTTTGTATATACATACAGAAGTTTGGTATCTAAGTGTTCACATCTGTCTGTATTTTAATGAGAAATGTATTAGTTGTGTGTGTAAGTTTTATTACGACGTTGACACGATGGGAATTAATTCTAACTAGATCATGTCTTCTGTCTGTGAGATAAACCTGACTAACATCTCTTGTGTTAGGTGATGCAGAAGCAATGGGAGTCACTGGAGCTTAAGGAGGTGATAGTGAAAGAAGAGGAGGATGTCAAGTGCGAGTGCAGGTGTAGAGTGCTGCCCCACCACTGTAACAACACCACACAACACTATGATCAACACACCTGTAACTGTATCTGCAACGAGTAAGTAACGCTGCCCTTATATAGGCGTAATATGGTTATTTATGCAAGTTTTTTACAGTTTATTAAAATTAGCAACAAAGTAAGTGCACGCGTGGACATGCGCGTATACACACACACACACACACACACACACACACACACACACACACACACACACCAAACACACCAGTATGTGCCCCTGTTTGCAGATGATGTGAGGTTAATAAAGAGAATTAAATCAGATGCTGACCAGACAGGTCTACAAAGAGACCTGGATGTGTGGTCCAACAACTGGCTCTTAGAATTTAATCCCGCCAAATGCAAAGTCATGAAGATCGGAGAAAGACAAAAATAACCGCAGACAGAGTATAGGCTAGGAGGCCAAAGACTGCAAACCTCACTCAAGGAGAAAGATCTAGGAGTGAGTATAATACCGAGTACATCGCCAGAATCACACATTAACCAAAAACTGCTGCGGCATATGGGCGCTTGCCAAACCTGAGAATTGCGTTCCGGTACCTCAGTAAGGAATCGTTCAAGAGACTCTATACACTGTGTACGTCAGGCCCATACTGGAGTACCGAGGCACCAGTTTGGAACCCACACCTGTCAAACACGCCAAGAAATTAGAGAAAGTGCAGAGATTTGCAACAAGGCTGGTTCCAGAGTTAAGGGGAATGTCCTACGAAGAAAAGTTAAGGGAAATCGGTCTGGCGACGCTGGAGGACAAGAGAGTCAGGGGAGACATGATAACGACATACAAAATACTGCGAGGAATAGACAAGGTGGACAGAGACAGGATGTTCCAGAGATGGGACACAGAAACAAGGGGTCACAATTGGAAACTGAAGAATCAGATGAGTCAAAGGGATCTTAAGTGTTTCTTAAGCCACAGAGTTGTTAGGAAGTGGAATAGTCTGGCAAGCGTTGTTGTGGAGGCAGAACCATACATAGTTTTAAGACGAGGTACGATAAAGCTCATGGAGCAGGGAGAGGGAGGATCCAGTAGCGGTTAGTGAAGAGGCGGGACCAGTAGCTGAGTCTCGACCCCCGCAACCACAACTAGGTGAATACAATTAGGTGAGTACACACACGCACACACACACGCACACACACACACACACACACACGCATACACACGCATACACACGCATACACACGCATACACACGCATACACACGCATACACACACACACACACACACACACACACACACACACCACACACACACACACACACACACACACACGCACACACACACACACACACACACACACTACGCCCTAGAATCCCGCAGTACACTGCCAGGTCCCCCACTCTCACACACACCCCAAAACACAGTGCTGGAGAGGAAACTGAAGGTATGGTACACCATCGCTGATGGAATAACAAATAAGTGGGAGGAGTGGCACGAAAGAGTCAAAGAGGCACCACCGGACATCATAGCTCTCACAGAAACCAAGCTCAATGGTATGATAACAGATACCATCTTTCCAACCGGATATCAGATCCTGAGGAAAGACAGAGGGAACAGAAGGGGTGGAGGAGTGGCACTGCTGGTCAAAAACCGATGGGAGTTTGATGAGCTGGAGAGAGGAGACAAAGGAGAAGCAAGAGATTACACAGTACTAACGCTACAGTCTGGAGGTCCCAAGGTGGTAATTGCTGTGATGTATAACCCACCACAGAATAGCAGGAGGCCAAGGCAAGAGTATGATGAGATTAATAGAGCGATGGTTGATACACTAGCCGAAGGGCCTGGAAGGGCTCATGTGAGCAGGGCAAAGCTACTGATCATGGGTGACTTCATCCACGAGGAAATCGATTGAGAGAACTTGGATCCACATGGAGGCCAAGAAATGTGGAGGGCTAAGATGATGGAGGTGGTACTGGAAAACCTCATGTACCAACATGTAAGGGACAATACCAGAGAGAGTAGGAGAGGATGAACCAGCGAGACTGGACCTAGTAGTGCAGATATTGAGAACACATATGAAAGACCCCTGGGGGCCAGTGATCATGTGGGTTTAAGCTTTGAATACATAGTAGAGTTACAAGTGGAGGGGGATGCATGAAGAACTTCCTGAAAGGGGTTCAGTGGGACAGAGAACTGGCAGGGAAGTCAGTAGACGAGATGACGGAATACATGACAACAATATGCAAGGAAGCTGAAGAGAGGTTTGTACCCAAGAGTAACAGGAATAATGAAAAAGTCAGGATGAGCCCATGGTTCACTCAAAGGTGCAGGAACGCCAAAAACAAGTGTGCTAGGAAATGGAAGAAGTATATAAGGCAAAGGACCAGGAGAATAAAAGACCATAGTAGAGACAGAAATGAATATGCACGGGTAAGACGGGAGGCCCAAAGACAGTATGAGAGTGACATACCCAGCGAAAGCCAAATCTGCCCCAAAGCACTTGTAAAAGCCCACAATCAGAGGAATGCAACAGTCAAGGACCGGGTAATCAGGCAGGGGAAAGGAAGGAGGGAAGGTCACAAAAAGGACTGTGAAGATATAGGAGCTCAACGGGAGATTCAAAGATGTTTTTTCACAGAGTAAAACAAAAAGGGGGG